ATATAAAATAGTTTGCCAAAATAGGAGATATTATTGAATATAAGGGTAATGGCTCCTCCCTTTTAGGGTTGTAGGTATGGATCCCAAGGTTGGTGTTTTTCATGCCTTTGTTATATTTTGTCTTATGAGGCAATTTTACTATGTAGGTTTGGCTGGCCTGGAACTCACTGTGTAGATCAGGCTGTCCTTGACACATAGAGATTTACCTGCCTTCTAAATTCCAGGATGCAAGTATTCCACCACCATGCTTGGCCTCAGACTATATACATTGCTAGCTCAACCTCAAAATCCAGGACCCAAATGATGTTTCTACCTCTAGTTCCCTTGCACTAGTACCATAGTCACAGACCACTGCACCTGCATCTGGCTCTTGGGTTGTTTTGTGTGTTTGCTTGTTTGTTATTCATTACTATTGGGGAGTGCACAACATTGTGTGACCACTGAGGCACAGACACTTGTCTGCCACGGTGCACATGTGGAGGTAAGGGGACAACTTTAGCAAATCAGTTCTCTCTTTTTCTACCATTTGGGTCCCAGGAATCAAATGTAGGTTGTCTTTTACCCCTGAAACAATTCCACTGCTCCCCCCAATTTTTATTTCCTTCAGTGTTGGAGACTTGACTGTTTTAAAACATTGGCAGGCTCACTAGAGAGAGAAAAAGTGAAGATCCTAAAGATGTCAGAAACAAAGCATAAAGATGAAATGAAGTGTGGGTATCTGTCCCACGCTAGTGAAATCAGCAGGTGATTTCACTGTATTGTTTGTTTGTTTTAAAACAGGGTCTCCCTACATAGCCCTGGCTGTCTTGGAACTCACTGGTAGACCAGGTTGGCCTTGAACTCACAGAGATTCACCTCTCTCTTTCTCTGTGTCTCTCTTTCTCACTCTCCATCCCCCCTTCCTTCCCTCCCTCCCAAGTGCAGGATTAAAGACATGTACCACTATATAGAGCAACCTGTGATTTTAAAAGGGATCTATCTGTGCATTGTAATGAGGGGGAAATAGGCTATCAGGTTTGCTTTTGCTTACTTTTTTCCTGTTAGAGATTAGAAACAAAAAGTAGTGTTCTGGGTGATACTAAAGTTGGTAAGAAACAAATATGAAGTTTGAGGAGTAGCAGAGTGGTAAAGAAACTTGCTTAGCAGGTTCTACAAAGCCCTGGATTCATTCTCCAGCACTGCTAAATAAATAAATACAACAATAATTTGTTAATTCTTTTTACACTTTGACTAAGAGTGATAGCTTCTTCCCCACAGAATTTTAACATTTAACATTAAGTGAAAATCCATTTAGTTGTTTTAAAGGTGACTGATAGATGGAGAAATTTATTTTAAAGGTAAGAAAGGGGAGGAGAAGGTGGAGCAGGAGCAGGGAGTAACTCCACCACTGGCAGAAGTGTGTCCTTCCCTAAGAAGGGACCGAAGGACAGCATGTTGTTCATTAAATAATAGCAGATTAAATAAAACATGTGTAGTTGAGTGGTGGAGCACTCCCACATACAAATGGGCTGGAGTGTGTCTTCGTTTAAGAACATGCACTTGCCTCACAGAGCTCCTGCTTGAGGATCTGACATACTTCTGGCCCCATGGGGCACTGCACTTGTGCACCAGCCACACACAGACACATAGTTTGGGGCTTTTTGTTGATGTTTAAAGGAGCAAAATGGTACACAGAAAGGGAAAGGCTGGTTTGGGTTAGATTGGTCCTATCAGCTTAATTTTTTAAGCAAATAAAACCAGACAATGTAGAATTTTTTTGCATATGCTTTCTGGTTGTATCTCTCTATTTTGTGAAATGAGATTGTAAGCCCAAGAGCTGTTTGTCAGTTAGCATGCCAGAGGGCTCCTCCTGTTCCATTGTGATGTGTTGACTACCAGCTCTAGGCAAAACCAGAGGAATTTGAGCAGAGAAGCTATCTGCTTGGGCTCTTTATTGGATTGCACAGATCCAGGTAGAATAATTACTGTACTTCAGACATATGACTTTAAAATATTCCTTAATATAATGTTGGCTAGTTTAGGAAAATTTAACAAATTTTCATTTGTTGTTTCTGATTAAGGGTCAACTGTATTTGTTGGTAACAGACCAGGGGTTTCTTACTGAAGAAAAAGTTGTCTGGGAAAGCCTGCACAATGTAGATGGTGATGGGAATTTTTGTGACTCAGAATTCCATCTTCGACCTCCTTCAGATCCTGAGACTGTGTACAAAGGTCAACAAGACCAAATCGATCAGGTAAAATTGTTTTGCCCCACCACCCATCGCATTGTGTAAAGTGCATATTCTTTCTCTCCCCCCCCCCTTTTTGAGATATGGTCTCACTATACCCTGACTTGTCTGGAGCTCCCTATGTAGACCAGAACTCAGAGATCTGCCTGCCTCTGCTTCCCAAATGCTGAGACTAAAGACTTGTGCCACCATACCTCGCTAAAGTGCATATTCTTCACTGAGGCAAGGTAATGTGCACAGCTGCTTGGGAGACTGGGGGATGTCACTGAGCTCACAAGTTGGAACCAGCCTGGGCAACATAGCAAGATCTGGTGTCAACAAGGAAAAGCAAATTCTTTTCAAGTGTCAGTTTGTTTATCTAAAACTTTTGATTCATGCATTAATTTTATTTGTTTGTTTTTCAAGCCAAGGTTCCTGGCTGTCCTGGAACTCACTATAAAGAACACTATGGCCTCAAACTCACAGAGGTCCACCTGCCTCTGCCTCTGAGTGATAGGATTAAAGGCGTGCACCACCACTGCCAGACTATTCATCCATTAATTTACCTGTGAGTTCTCCTCACATTTCCTAAATAGGAAAGTGATCATTCTATAAATTCTCTGTGAACATCAGTTATACACTATGATTCAGAAGGTGGATTGTGTTGACGGGTCATAGTGAGGACTTTGAATTTCACTCTAATTACACTAGATCAATTATGTTGAGGATTAAATGTGGAAACCGCATGAACCATTTTATTGTATTTCTTTACTCAGTTTGTGAGTGACTATGTATACCACAGTGCACCTGGAAGTCAAAGGACAGTGTGCAGATCTGTCCTTTCCTACCAACCATGGGTACTAGGAACTGAACTCCAGTTGTCAGGCTTGGCAGGAGGAGCTGAAACACAGACACACAGTGAGGGGATCTCTCTCTCCTCTCTCTCTCTCTCCCCTCCACGTTGTCCTGGCTGTCCTTGATCTGTAGACCAGGCTGGCCTCCAACTCAGAGATTCACCTGTCTCTGCCTCCAAGTGCTGGGACTAAAGGTGTGCACCACCACCACCCAGTGAGCGATAATAAGTAAGTAAATAAATGTAAAAAATAATAAATTGGGTATAAGTTTGACCAAAATTAACTTCTTCTCACAGGAGATAATCTCGGTATATAGCTAGAAGATATAATTACCCAGTAATTGAATTTGACAATAGCTACTTTGGCTTTAAAAATCATCTTTTGGGGCTAGGAAAATAGCTCAGTTTATAAAGTACCTGCTGCCCACTCATAGGACCTGAGTTCAATCCCCAGCACCCATGTAGAAAGCTGGAAATGGTCACAAACACTTGTAATCTCAGTGCTGGGAGGCAGAGACAAGATGATCCCTGAGACTCACTGGCCAGCATGAAAACCTGAGTTCAAATTCCCAACATCCATGTAAAAAGTTGAGTATGGCAACGTATCTCTGTAACCCCAGCATTAGGGATGAAACAAGTGTCTCCTGCAAGCTGACTACCTGGCTTAGCTTAGTCCAAAAGATGAACTTCTAATTCACTAAGACACCCTGTCTCAAGACAGTTAATACAGAGAGTAACACAGACTGTTTCAATGCCGAAAGATAACCAGTGTCCTGCTCTGACCACCAAAGGTGTGCACACATGCACATACTTGTACTACTCCCACCCCTCACACACACATAGAAAGAGAAAAAAACGTGGATGACACTTGCTGTTGTCCTGGCTTCCACTCACAGGCAACTTTGAGGTGAGCCAGGTCTATATAGCAAGGGTCTTTCTCAAAAATGAGTAACACATCAAAAATGAGGCTCACATCTGTCTGTAACTCTAGTTCCAGGAGCTCTGGCATACATGCAGGTAAAAAATGAGTAACTAAATATTGTAAAATAAAAACCTGAATCATTCTTTGAGCTGAATATGGTATTAGCTGTAGTCCCGGCCCTTGGGATGCCCAGGCGCATCTGAAAGACCAGCCTGAGATATTTCATAAGACCTGGTCAGAGCAGAGCAAAACAGTCTGGGGGAGGAGGAGAGAAGTGAGCAAAGAATCTTATGAAGTTCTTAAACTATTTAAAAAACAAAGCTAAATGAAAAATAAAAAGCTTAAAATAGTTTTGGAGGGTGGGAGATACGTTTGAATTTCTGTGTGAATGTGGAACATACTAGAGGCTATAAATCCTCCACAGCTACATCTGTCACAGTGACTGCAGCTCGCACGGTGTCTGGTTTTCTGCATGTTCCTTGCTCACGTGTTTCTTTTGAAAATGGGAACTTTTTTCAATAGCTTTCTTATATGACTTATTTATTGCTTCTAGAAAAGATTTTAAACTAAATGCTAAAACTGTGTAGAACCGTGATAATAATGAAGGAAATCTGTAGCTCTACAAAGAAGAAAGTCCTTAGAAATAGAGCTTTAAAGGCCTATGCTGTAAAAGTCATTCTCAGACTCATAGTGGGTGTCTGTTCCTGGGTCACATCTCAAAGCTGAAGCGCTGTGATTGAACTCCTCAGGACTACCTTATGGCACTGTCACTGCAGCAAGAACAGCAGAGCCAAGAGATCAACTGGGAGCAGATCCCAGAAGGAATCAGTGACCTGGAGTTGGCGAAGAAACTCCAAGAGGAGGAGGACAGACGGGCCTCTCAGTACTACCAGGAGCAGGAGCAGGCACAGGCGGCTGTGGCTGCTACCACCACTTCCACACAGGTCCAGGTAAAACTGTAGCTCTGTGAATCTCAAACACGACAGTCACTTTAGCAGTAAAAGAATTTCTGCTTGGCAGAAACAGTTGTAAGTCAGCTCTGGCTTTTCAACTGTGTTAGCATGTCAGCACCCAAGGGATTGAGGCTCTTTTGTTTATTTTGCTGGGGGTTTTTTTAGATTTATTTATTTTATTTTATTTTTTGTTTTTCAAGAAAGGATTTTTCTGTGTAGCCTGGAACTCACAGAAATCTGCCTGCTTTTGCCTCCCAAATGCTGGGATTAAAGGCATGTGCCACCACTGCATGGCTTAGATTTATTTTATGCGTATGAGTGTTTTTCTTACATGTGCACCATGTATGTGCCTGGTGCCTGTGGAAGTCAGAAGAAGGCATGGGATCCCCTGGGATTAGAGTTATAGACAGTGGTGAGCCACCATGTGGGTGCTAGGAAGCAAACCCAGGTCCTCGGCAAGAACAAGTCTTCAATGTTGAGTCATCTCTCCAGCTCTCCCTGTGTGATATTTCACATTGTTCTAAGGTTTTTACCATCCAAACATATTTCTGATTTCATGAAGACATTTTTCAGAGCTTCTGATAAGATAGGAGGATCTCAAGGGCTTGCTGGCCACCAATTTAGCTCCAGATTCTGTGGGAGAACATCTCTCAAGGAAGCAAGACTGAGAGTGACAGAGAACACCAGATGACCTCTGACCTCACACTCATACTCCCCAAACACACACGTGTGGCTTAAATCCTAACTGCTATTAATAATAAAAACCCAGAGTCAGATATAGGGGTTAATGCCAAAGATCAGAGAAGCAGAGCGGCCAGACACTAGAGAGACCTTTTACCTCTACTGAATCCTTCAACTGAAGGGGTGATCCTGGCTCTATGAATCCTTAGACTGCAGACTGCATCTGAGCGCCTGTCTCCTCCCACTTTATATTCCTCTTTCTGCCTGACCATATCCTATAGTGGTATATATTGTGTTTTAATAAATGAAGCTTGCCTGAAGATCAGGGAGCAAAGCAGCCATACAGGCCAGGGAGTGGTGGCACACACCTTTAATTCCAGGACTAGGGTTTAATCTTGGGGGTGGGATCACAGAAGCAGACGGACCTCTTGAGTTCAAGGCCACCTGATTGACTCTGTCTAAAATAGAAACAGAGCTCTCACAAAGATTGCTCACGGCATTTGGGATCACATGCCTTTAATCCCAGCGCTAGGGAGGTGGAGACAGGAGCAATATGGCTGGGCAGAGAGGAATATAAAGGAGTATGGAATCTTCAGGATTCATGGAGACCATATCTCACCCATTTTCACTCTGAGGTGGAGATAAGAGAAAGTGGCTAGCTGCTTTGCTTGTCTGTCTCCAGGTTGAACCCCAATATCTGTCTCTGGGTTTTTATCATTTGTGCTACAATATCCCTTTCTGTCTCTACAGCCCTAGTGCTAGGATTAAAGGCATGTGACTCCCAAGTACTGGAATTAATGGTTTGAGCCACCACCAGTTGTTTCTCTTTTAGACTGGATCAATTTCGTGTAGCCCAGGGTGACCTTGAACTCACAGAGATTTGTCTGCCTCTGTCTCCTAATGCTGGGATTAAAGGTGTGAGCCACCACTGCTTGGCTCTATGGCTAACTAGTGGCTTAGCTCTGTACTCTGATCTTCAGGCAAGCTTTATTTGTTAGATTATAAACAAATTATCACTACACACACATTCTCTTTTTCTCTCTCTTTCATTAAAATACATGTAAAACTTCTGCTTCTAAATGAAGCACTAGCTATCCAAACTTAGCAGGTGAGTGCTACCATATTATTTTATTTCATTCAAATTCTCTGATCTCATAGTACACACTTATTAGTTTACACTCTCGGTTATCAGGATTCTTGTCTTTTGCTTTAAGATTTGTTTGTTATGGTATACAATAAAGTCTTGAAGAAATATTACAGTTTTCCAAAACTGTCAGTTTAACATAAATATTTCTCTTTTGAGGGGGTGGGATGAGACAGGGTTCCACTGTTTAGCTCTGGCTGTTCTAGAACTTGCTTTTAGACCAGGCTGACTGTGAACTCACAAGAGATCTGCCTGCCTTTGCCTCCAGAATGCTGGGATTAAAGGCGTGTGCCACCACTGCCCGGTTACATAAATATTTCTTCAACTAGAAGCTTAAATAGTTTAGATCATTATAGATTTGGAATAATGAGTACATAACTAATTATAAATTATTTGTGTCAGTTATTCTGTATATTAATTACTTCTCTCACACCTGACAGAAGCAACTTAGAGATTTGTTGAGATTTGCAGGAAAGGGTACAGCTCATCATGATGAGGAAGGCATGGTTGGACAGTGTTCAGTTGATGAAGGTGGGAGTTGGTGGCACAGCATCTCCCATCCTTTCCATCAGGAAGCAGCAACAGAAGCAGACAGGGAGACATGCCCTGCCACTTGCCTCACATCCACTCTTATGTGGACCGCCAGGCCCTCTTACTTAAGATACCCCAAACTTCTCACAGCAACAGGCCAGCAACAGGGACCGGGGCATCTGCCATTCAAACCTTAACACCTGTAAACAGAAACCGTGCCCCGCAGCATCTGTATCTGTGAGGATACCTTTTGCCTTGTGGTTCTAGCTAGCTCTGATTCTGTTCCGGTGTGTGTTTCTCCTACAGCAGGGCCAGCCAGCACAACCCTCTCCATCAAGTGTAAAACAGCCTGGAAATAGTGAACGGAAACGCAAAGAACCTCGCGAAAAAGAGAAAGAAAAGGAAAAAAATAGTTGTGTGATATTATAGGAAGTGCTGGCATCTGTGGGAACCACCTATGCAGATGACGGAAAGGAAGACCCAGTACCTACCGTCTGTGCCTGATCTCTCAATGGATTTTGTTCTTGTTTTCCAGGGGAAGGTTGTTACTTTGTTACAATCAACTTTTTTAAGTTACACAATATACTCTTTATGAGCTGGAGTTTTGTTACAAAGTGGAACTGTTGTATGTTGTCACTTGTAGCCAAATAAGTATATCACTTCTATTTTATGTTTAGTGATGTGACAACTCTAATCAGTTTGTAAGCTACTGTGTGTCCGACAATGGATGGAGGTCACCTGAGTGAGTCCTATCCTTCTCAAGATGTAATTATCAGCACAGCTATTTCTGAAACATTTATGCTAAATTATGTTCTAATCCATAAGAAATGAGGAGTTTAATATAGGAAGAGGAGAAAAAGCAGGAATAAATGACCCTTCATTGTACAACTGGCTCAGCCCTTGAACAGCTTTACCTTTATTTAGCAATGTACATTTTAGATATTATCTTGAGAACTGATAATGAAGCTTGGATCCAATTTAGATAGAAATTTTTTTTATTTTCCAATAGCAAAAAACCCACAAAAATTATATGACACTAATACATATAACCTATCCAAATCAGATACTGACTTTGTAGTATTGTGAGATTCTGAGGAATTTTAACACCTTTAGGTAACCTGAATGGTGGTTTCTGTTTGTTAAGGATGTGGTGAGTGAGGAGACCACACTCGTGTTTTAGCCTTGTAAATAGGATGGCAGAGAAGAGCAGAGTTCACTGTCTACCTTTTTCTAGATTTACCTTGAACCTTAAATTTTAAATCATGTTTATTGCTAGAAAATTAAGCATAGTTATTTAAACCAATAAAAAGCACATTTCTGAAGGAAAGTTAATCTCTTGACTCTAATGAAAAGATATTAATAAAATTCTGAACATAGCAGGAATCTGAAGGAATTTATGTAAAAGCAGTCAGATTTTTTAACTTATGAGAACCAAATAAACCTAAGACATCTTATATCATTTATAGGATTCTGAAAGAATATTTACTCAGCTTTGTGATGAGGCAGCACATATTGTAATTTCTAGATCAAGTTTGAAAACTATCCTTAACAGTCCTTTTTATATACTTTGTATTTAAAGTTTGTTTCAGTCATTTTTAAAGATTATTGCCGGTGCAGGTAGCTGTATGATTTGCCCCAAGCCTCAGTAAACTTGTTTATTCAGGACCATCACAAATTGAACGTCCAGTCAGAGAATATTTCTTGTGGTCTGGAGACAACGAAAGACTACAAAAAAAAAAAAAAAAAAGTAGTCTAGAGTTTCTTAAGACTATTGTCATCATTCTCCATGATCCCAAACCAACGGGATGGATCTGTCTGTAAAAAGTAGAAGTTTTATTTATGAAAAGTATTATTGTAAGGGGCAAATTCAGGGCTGTGCTGTATCCTTTATACTCTTCTACATTACACGTCTACTTACGTTGTTATTCAGGTTTCCTATGCCAGCATGGGAACAATCAGAGGACCTGCTGGGTTATAAGATTTGTGTATAAAATACTTGGTACGTCTCTTGATTCCAACCTAGAGTGAGTATGAACTGTAAAGACCAGAGCCCTGTGGTGGGCTGACTTGGCAGACACACATAGACAACAGCATTCTGATACTCAGAGGAGAACGCTCAATCCTCAGGGTTTGCTTTTCCCAGAACCGTCTATTATTTTAATTTAGAAAACAATAACCTTGAGTAATTTTAAAAAGTATACTTGAGGCATATTTTTCCATAATTATATACAATATCTATTTATTGCCCTTAAAATCTATATATAGAAATTGTTATTTTTACTATCTTAATTTGTTCCAAAGATAATACTGCCATACTGCATTCCCTCTAGAAGAAAAAAAGAAGAAACAAAGCAAACACAACTCACTCAAAACCAGCATCGCTATCAGATAAGTAGGTGTCAGTATGTACTCATGACAAGTAATGAGTTGTGTTTATTAATCCAATCTTATGTCAGATTTCCAAGTCGGGCTTGGTTACATTCCTGGAATTGTTTGATATGACAAGAGTCATAATATTTGTTTTGATTACCGTGGGAGAAATTAAATGTTTGACTCTTAAAACAAATTTGTGAGATGCTTTCCTGTCCTCAAAGGCTGTCAAGGATCTGAACTGTCACATGCTTGTTTCCTATGTTTTGCTCAAGATAGCAAGTGATATTCAGGCATATTGTTGCTTATTTGGGTACAAAGGACTTTGAATATGGTATTTTGAGGGATTTTTCCCCCTCCCAATACTTTGTAATACTTGAAATTGTTATACATATCTTGCTAACAGACGTCAGAATTTAAACATTTTGGAGCTTAATGTTTCTAGACTAAATTTCAGGCACATTTGACCAATGTGCCCACTCAGCATGAGAACTGGCAGGAGGCAGGTGGAAGAGCAGATAGGGTCCCTGGCTTTTCTCTTGCTTTCAAAGCAGAGTCTTAAAGTTAGTAGGTCAGTCTTTATTAGTGTGCACTTCTTGATGGGTAACCCTGTTGTATAACTTGCTATCACTTGTACTAGTTTGTCAATACCGAGGAGCGTGTTCTGTTTCTGAAGTAGGTTTCCATGACCTCTGTTTGGGTCTCAAAGCAAAACTTCCTATCAAATGTAAGTCATCATTTTAAAAATATGCACAAATCCCAGCATTCGGGAGGCAGAGGCAGGCGGATCTCTGTGAGTTCGAGACCAGCCTGGTCTACAGAGCTAGTTCCAGGACAGGCTCCAAAGCCGCAGAGAAACCCTGTCTTGAAAAACCAAATAAACGAATAAATAAATAAATATATGCACAAACACGCCAGGTTTAGGAGTGTCACCCAGCGGTAGAACATTTGCCTGGAATGCTCAAGGGCCTGGGTTCAGTCCCCAGAACATGCATATGTTCACAGACACATATGTGTCAAGCAGTTAATCATGGCGTTGGCTTTAGGCCAGTGTGCATGGGCAGAATAACTTCCTCCATGTTTTAAGGTCAGGCTAGGGTTTGAGCAAGACAGAGGCTTAAGTTTGGATTAGGTGATCTTGTTTCTATTGCCTCACTTTTCTTCAGTTTGTCTTGAATTCTTCCTCATGCTCCTCATATCAGATATAAGCTGAATAAACTCGTGTTGGCCATTCTGTGCTCACACAACAGCTTCACAGCATTTTGTTTTCTGTGAGTCATAAACTCAGTGCAGACCTTGAGGACCAGAGGGCAGATGTGAGGACAAGGGGATGACTCATGATCACTGTCTGTGTTGGCATGTGAACAGATGTCTGTAAAATCCTAGCAAATCAAGGCAAGAATTTTAAGAACTGTCATTGGTCTTGCTGTGTAGCCAGCTGACCTGGAATTAACTGTTGTAGCCCTGGCTAGCTTCAAACCCAAAATCCTCCTGCCTCAGCTTCTCACTGCCGTGATTACAGGCATATGCCATCATAGCCAGCTTGTTTAAACTTTCGTAAAGCTAACAGCAAACGGATTGCATTTTGCTTACCGTTCTTATCCACTGTACCAGTTACTATTTTTCTTACGAAAGCTTACAGGTTTGCACATATCACTCACTGTCACAGGCATAGAATTTAAATTGAAAAATTAATGTTTGACAAAATAAGGCAAAGACATTAAAGGTAATTATTCATATTTTAAGGGATTAGACATGTGAAATCCTGGATCATTTGATGTTTGAAGCTTTTGTCTGAACATGGTAATACACACTGTCACCCCACCTTTGAGGAAGGTGAAGCAGGAGGATCCTGAGTTCAAGGCGAGCCTGGGCAAGTAGTAAGACCCTGTCTCCAAACACAAACCTGACTTTGTCTTGTTTTGGTAATCATCATGCGCCTCAGTTTCCTCTGTGTGCAGGGTGCGCCTGTTCTCCTGCTCCCCATGCTTGCTTCTCCTGAGCACTGAGAATTACTAAGATCATCACAGACATTGCACAGCCTCTGTTCTTGAATGTGCAGACTTTATAATGACTTAAATCAGTTTTTTTAAATGCCATTAGCTTGTAGAATTATTTCAAATGTGGCATTATGGCTTTCAAAAGTATATTTTGCGTTGCTTTTGTATGTGGTAGACTAGTATCAAGAGCAGGAGTATTTGGCATATAAAATGCACTTTACAGACCTGTTCTCCTGGTATTTTTTACAGATTAAGTGCTTAGAGCCTCCTGGTCTTTTCCTCCAGAGTAAAGCAGCATCAGGAACTGGCCGGTCTCTCCGCTGCTGTCAGTGTAGACTACTTATTTGTGGCTTGGTGTGAAAATGGACTCTGGTAGTGTGCAAGTCAGCTCCTTTAGAAGTGAGAAATCATAAAAGAACACTTGAATCTGAGTTCTGTTTCTCTGATAATTTACTGTCTTTTGTTGCTGATGCAAAAGTTATGAATAATTGAGTTCACTTTTCTCAGATAACAGTTGAGAATAACTTTTAAAATTAAAAGCTCCCTGAAGGGAATAAATACAGAGAAGATAAAACAGTAGGGTACCTTGCAGAATACTGGAAAACTTACTTTGATTCATGCATGTCTTTACTTAATCCTGGTATTTCTGCTATTAGGAAATAGAGCTTAACAAATTGATAAATGCATATATTTTTTTACATGTAGGATTCTAGTTTCTTCTGAACTCAAGAAAACTAGACTCAACAAACAGGGTAAATATCTTCAACTCTTGCCTCAAATTCAATGTTCCTTAGTCCTGACAAAGGTTGGTTAGATTTGTCTAATAAGCTGGTATCTTTAGGGCATGACACCCTCCCATAATTAGTTGAAATACGATGGCAAAGACAGGAAACCCAACCTTTGTCCCATGGTGAAGTTAAAAGAGCAAAAGCCCCATCCCAGAAAGTGCCCACTTTATCTAGCATGAATTGTAAAGATGTCACCTTTTGAATGTTCAATTCTGCACGGTCGCACCTGGAGAGGCAAGGTGGCCCTGTAACTAGAGGATGTGCAGTAGCAGTCCTGTAGGCAGTCCTGGCGCCTCTGCCTTCAGTAGTCATTTTATAGCTGAATGCGGAAAGTCGGGGAGCTGAAATGCCCGTTATAAATCCCGAGTCACAACATCCTAACGGAAATCCCCGATGAAGCAGCTGTAACTCAGACAAGAGATTGGTGTTTAATCTTTAAAATGTCTGGTGTGTCGGAATGTGTGTTGCTGTTCCTTCCCACCCATTATTTGTATGAGATAACCACTGTGAAAGGATTCAGTGTCTCTTCACTTCCCAGGTTAGTCTTTTAGTGAAGCTTTGCTCTAGTAGTTTTTGTTGACTTATTTTCCTCAATAAGATGACAACTACTGTCACAGATCCACATAGGACCAGGTAATAGAAGACTGCTAAATGACAGAAGGCACATGTGATTCGTTTCCCTTGATATGGGCTGCATACGAAGGTTGAAACATGGAACTGGGAGAGCAAAAAGGTAAACAGAATGATAACAGACACTGTCATTTTGAACAGCAGGAAGGAAAAGAAACAGGTCTTCTCCCCCAACTTGAGTGTGAGCCAGTTTATTCTGACCTGTGGAGCCATGTGCTGGCTGACATGGGCTGTGGGGACTGTCTGTCCCTGCATCTTTTCTGCTTCCAGCAAGTCACGCTTCTGCTTTAAATGCAAGTGAAGAATAAAGGAACAGAGACTGGGATATGTTCATTGAAAAGAGACACCTAAAATGCGCCTACTCATCACAGGGCTGAACTGATTTCTGTGAAATAAATTTATTGTTTTAAATGCTAATTATGCTACGAACACCTCTAAAAATTATGTCTTAAATTTCAAGTTTCACTTTTGGAAACTACTCCTGAAAAGACATTGAACACAGGTGGGAAGGTATAAAATGTTCTGACAATGATTCAGTATTATTGTTTAATCTCAAATTCGTTGTTATACAAAGTGTAGTGACATCATTGGGTTAAAACGTTGGATGTTTTTGTTAATATACTTAAAACTGTAACCAGTGAATAATAACATTGTAGTATTTTTTATTATAGATTATATTTTATTTCAATAAACTTTGATATTTAGACCGAACATTCTGTGTGTCAGCTCATCACATTAAGCTGCTGTCCATGTGGCTGGTCACATTTACCTGAGACTCACTTAGATCAGTGTTTGACGCGATAGACAATTAATAATCAACTCTAAACTGCAAACCTTGATTCTGGTGAGGAAGAGTCACCATCTCACACAGCTCTCTTATCAGAGGAGTTAGTTCAGGAAAAACTGAAAGGGATCATTTCCTCCTGCCCCTGTGGATCAGGCTGCCAGGCTACTGCTACATGTACCTCTACCCATAGAGCCATCTCATTTTATTTTGTTTTCTAAGTGATTTTTCAGAGCTATTTATGCTACAGCTCAAAATTAGTATCCAACTTGAATGGTCAAAAACTCTATTGTGGACACTCAGGGTAGTTCACACTTGTAATCCCAGCATGTAGGTGGCTGAAGCAAGAGGATCACTGTGAGCTAAAGGCCAGCCTAGGCTACGAAGTGAGACATTGCCTCAAGTTTCAAAAAAAAAAAAAAAAAAAAAGCTCAGCCAGTTTCTCTTACTGAGTTGACTAAGTTCAAACCTCAACCATGTCCCTCATTAGGGTCTCAAATGCCAGGGACAGAACAGAGATGACCAGAGTCAGCCATGCCCACAATGAAATCATTCAGATTAGTCCAGAGGGGAGTCCTGAGTGATGGCAAACCTCACCACTCTTTCCCATCAATAACTGGCCCCCAGCGCTGGAGCTTGTGGGTGGTGTTACAGGCTGTCTCCCTGTCACATCAGGACTGTAAACAAGAGACCAGTTTCATATACTCAAGCATCACACTGAATCTCATCATCACAGTCATCTTTAACTTTGGAGGTGCAAGCTTGGCATTCCAACACTCTGGAGACTGAGACATGAGAAATCAGACATTCCAGACCAGCTTGGGCTACACAAGACCTTGTTTCAAAATGAAGCAAAAATGAAGACAGTGAGCCTGCATGGTGGTACATATTAGTAATCCCAGTACTCAGAGGTAGAGGGTGGTGAATTAAAGACCAGTTTGAGATACAGCAAGACTCAAGAAGGAGTAAAAAACAAAGCAGGCCATCCACAGGGACACAATATTCCCCAGGACATATCTGATAAATAATACATGAAAAGGGTTTAGAACGCAAAGATAAAGACAAAAACACAATTAAAATGAAGTAAAGATGTAGCCAGACAGTGATGGTGGCAGCACACTGGTCTAAAACTCAGGCAGATGGATCTCTGTGAGTTTGAGGCCAGCCTAGTCTATAGAGCAACTTCTAGGACAGCCAGGGCTACACAGAGAAAAACTGTCTTAAAACACAAACAAAAAAATATAAACAAATAATGCAAAGCTATACTGGTGCGGGAGAATTGTCTGTATTCTGTCAATCATGTTTTAAATAAATGCTGATTGGCCAGGCAGGAAGTATAGACGGGTCAACCAGACAGGAAGTAGAGGCGGGGCAAGGAGAACAGGAGTATTCTGGGAAGAAGAAAGCTCTTCCACAAGTCCTGCCCAGACCACCGAAGAAGCAGGATGAGACCTACCCCACTGAAAAAGGTACTGAGCAATGTGGCTAAAACAGATAAGAATAATGGGTTAATGTAAGATACAAGAGCTAATAAGAAGACTGAGCTAATGGGCCAATCAGTTTATAATTAATGCAGACTCTCTGGGTGATTTTTCTCTGGGACTAAACGGCTGGGGGACCTGGCAGGACAGAAACCCCAATGAGCAGGCCCTCATGTTACACTATACCAATTATAAAAAGCATGTGAAATATGCTTAACATCATTAGAAATTCAAGAGCCAATGAGATAGCTCAGTGGGTAGGAGAGCTTGCTACCAAGTGACCTGGACTCAATCTCCAGAACTGTTATAGTAGAACTGATTTTCAAGTTGTCCACTGACCTTCAGATGCACAATATGACACATATACACACAAATTTATGTAATAAAAATTTGTAAGTTTACTAAGAATCAAAAAAAATTAAACCATAGCTAAATAACACTATATCCACGGGACGGCCAACACGCAGAGTTGAGTCTGGGCAGCGTAAAGATGGCACACACTTGAGAACTCTCCAGCAGTTTCCTGCAATTACAGTTTTCTGGCAGCAACACCTACCAGTTCCAAGCCTACTTATGCAAGAGAAATTAAAACAAGGCCACAGAGACTTATACTCAAAACATTTACTCATCAAACTGCAAGCAAGCTAAATTCCCATCAGTAAGTGAAGGCATAGGAAATTATGGTACGTATGTGCAATGGAAACCTACACAGCAACAGAAAATTGCTGACACATAGCAACATGGCCCACTGCACTGAATTAAACCATGTTTTTGTATGGCTCTAGGCAGATCAAACTTTAAAGAAAAATAAAGGCTGTCTAGGCTGGAGAAGCAGCTTGGGATGACCAGGAAAGGACATGGAGGGCTGGAGAGATGACTTAGCAGTCAGAGCTTGTACCGCTCTTGCAGAGGGCCAGAGTTTGGTTCCCAGCAGTCATGCCAAGTAGCTCATAACCACGTGTAGCTCCAGCTCCAAGGGGACCTGCACTCATGTGCACATAATCACACACACACACATGAATACACATCATTAAAAAATTTTTTAAAAAGGAAAAAACATGAAGATTTTCAGTGACAAAACTGCCATTTAAATTTGCTGCTAGTTGTGTCTGGTCATTTGTATATTCTACTTTAAAATAGTTTCAAATGCTTTCATACATTAGCAACAAATGAACCAAAACTGAGATTTTAAAAATTCTAGTTGAGGCCGGGCGGTGGTGGCGCACACCTTTAATCCCAGCACTCAGGAGGCAGAGGCAGGCGGATCTCTGTGAGCTCGAGGCCAGCCTGGTCTACAAGAGCTGGTTCTAGTATAGGTTCCAAAGCTATAGTGAAACCCTATTTCAAAAAACAAAAACAACAACAAAAAAAAATTCTAGTTGAGAGTTGGGAAGACAGCAATAGGATCTGAGCTCTGTTTCCAGAATTCATGTTTTTAAAAAGTGGGGTGTAGTTGTTTGAATGAGTATATCCCCCAAAGGCACCTAGGTCTCAATACTTGGTCCCCAGGTGGTGGAACTGCTAGGAACAATAAGGAGGTGTTCTTTTTGGAGAAGCTGTCACAAGGGCAGGCTTCAGAAGACTTGTACCATCCCCAGTGTGTGTCTGTGCCTCCTCCTTGCAGAGTAAGACGCGAGTCCTCTGCTCCCTGCCTCCAGACCTTCACTCCACCATTATAGACTCTGACCCTCTGAAACCATAGCCCAGTTAAACACTTTTTTTTAATATAGTTTGCTTTGGTCATAGTG